AAAAAAACAAAAAAACAGACAGGCAGAAAGGAGGGAGAGAGGGAGGGGGAGAGAGAGAGAGAGAGAGAGAGAGAAAGAGAGAAAGAGAGAGAGAGAGAGAAATGGAGGCGTCTATTGCTCAGAGAAACAGGGTTATAAATAGGCACTAGGAGTGAGAAGGGATGGGTGATTCTCAGGGATGGGCTCTTACCCCAGACAAATACGGGATGCTAATAATAGTGGGAACCACATCATTTCCAATACCATCATTCTACTTTGATACATTTAAGCTGACTAGTTCCATTCTCTGTCAATAACTAGAATTAGCCTGCCTCTCTGTTTGTCCACCTTCTACTTACGGTTTTGTGTTATCTACTAATGTAACTACATTGTCTCTAGAGTGAAAGCTTTGAAGCATGAAATGAAGCTCTTATTGTTTCTTGTATCCAGTATATGATAGGCACTTAACAAATATCAAATCATGAAATACTCATAGATACAACCTGAACCAGGAAGAGAGATGGAGTGGGACTAGATGGCAAACATTAAATTTTTGGGATTCTAACCTAGAACTAGCTGGACTTGTAGTCTAGTTGGAGGAAAGAACAGCTGAGGTGCATCAAGAAGGTTCACTTTAGCCCTGACCGGTTTGGCTCAATGGTTAGAGCGTCGGCCTGCGGTCCAGAGAGACCCAGGTTTGGTTCCCGCTGAGGGCATGTACCTTGGTTGCAGTTTGTCTCTGGCCCTGGTTGGGTCATGCGGGAGGCAGCCACTCGATGTGGCCCTTTCATGTCGATGTTCTCTCTCTCTCTCTCTCTCTCTCTCTCTCTCCCTCCCACTCTATCTGAACAAAAAAAATGGACAAATGTCCTCGGGTGAGGATGAAAAAAAAAAAAAAGAAGGCTCACTTTAGGGAATGAGCAAGACTAGATGTTGATCTCCAACTCCTACTGGAGTTGATCCCCAGCGTCATCCTGTGTGTGATGAAATTCACTGCACTGAAGATGACTGAAGCTTGATAGTTTTGTGGCAAACTATTTTGAGAAGTGACCTGCATGAGCTGGAGAGGAAGCAGGAAGCCTAGTTGACCCAGTACAGAGCCTCCAGAAAGAACCCTTAGCCCTTAAGTAAGGGTGATAGGGATTGGACAGTTAACCTCAGGGTTTATAATGTGTAAGGTCTCAGGAACATGGGTTTATGTGTAAGGTCTCAGAACTTGGGTGGGGAAAAGAAACAACTGGAATATTAAGATGAGATTACTTTACCTTCCACTAATGCTTAGTGTATGTGAAGCCTTTCTGAGGAGTAATTAGGGATTTTTTTTTTTAATCCTCAAACAAATTTTTGTTTTTATTTTTAGAGAGAGAAAGAAACGTCGATATGGGAGAGAAACATCGATTGGTTGCCTCCCGTATACCACCTGACAGGAGATCAAACCTGCCACCTAGGTATATGCTCTGACCAGGAATCAAACCCACAACCTTTTGTTGTACAGGATGATGCTCCAACGAACTGAACTGCCTGGCCAGGACAAGGTTATTTCTGATGCGTGAGGAGGAAGAGAAGAAGGAGAAGAGAGAGAAGAGGTCTGATTTCCAAGGCCCTATAAATCAGGTGCTCTTTCCAGGGTCTTGTTCTAATGGGATGAGATAGGCTTCAAACCATTACCTCAACTTCTGTTTCACTCACAGGGACTTTGCTCTCCCTTCATCTAAACTACATGTCAAAGTCTAACTCCTCCTTAGAGCAGCCCAGATGAAGCAGGTGAACCCTGATAATTGTGTTCTTCTGGGCTTGGGGCTTCAACAGTTGCTCTTCTGGCCTCATCCTGTTTCCTACCCTGGCTAGGTACTTATCCCCCAACCCACATCCCAACCCTGCTTACCTTTGTCTTATATACATATGATTTGAAGTCTTTGAGAACTGTTCTTAAAATCATAATATCCCTTGTGATTTTCTCATCTTTTTAATTTATGCAACTCTTCCCTGAGTCCCTGCGTTGGGAATATGAAGGCAGGTGAGACATGGTCTGGATCATCAGGCAGTCACATCAGTGCCGTCCTACTTAGCTGTGCACTTCAGCAGCAATACTGCAACAGAAGCACCAGAAGTGAGGGACTGTATTTATTTATTTTTTATCTTTATTGTTGAGAGTATTAGAGATCCCCCCCTTTTTCCCCAGTGCCCTCCTCTTCCTGGTTCCTGCCCCTCCAGAGGCCTTCACCACCTTATTGTCTATGTCCATGGATAACACATATATGCATATAAGTTCTTCGGTTAGTCTCTTCCCAACCCTCCCCCTTCCCTCTGAGGTTCATCCATCTGTTCCATGTTTCCATGCCTCTGTTTCTATTTTATTCACCAGTTTATTATGTTCATTGGATTCCACATATAAGTGAGATCATGTGATACTTGTCTTTCTCTGACTGGCTTATTTTGCCTGGCATAATACTCTCCAGGTTCCTCCATACTCTCTTAAAGAGTAATACATGTAAATTGTGAAACCATATAAATCCTAGAAGAAAATGTAGGCAGCAAAATTTCAGACATTGCAAGTAGCAGAATTTTTACTTATACATTGCCTAGGGCAAAAGAAACAAAGAAAAATAAATAAACAAATGAGATTACATCAAACTAAAAAGCTTCTGCACAGCAAAAGAAACCAGGATCAAAATAAAGAGGGAACCCACTGTGTAGTAGAACATATTTACCAATGACACATCTGATAAGGGATTAATTTCCAAAATATATAAAGTACTCATACAACTCAACAAAAAGAAGACAAACAATCCAATTTAAAAATGAACACTTTTTCAAACAGGACATACAAATAGCCATGAGACTTATGAAAAAATGCACAAAGTCACTAATCATCAGAGAGATGAAAATTAAAGGGACAATGAGGTACAACCTCACACCTGCCAGAATGGCTACCATCAATAAATCAACAAGCAACAAATGCTGGTAAGGAAATGGAGAAAAGAGAATCCCAGTGTACTGCTGATGGGATTGCAGACTGGTATAGCCACTATGGAAAACAGTATGGAATTTCCTCAAAATATAAAAAATGAAACTGCCATTTGACCCAGTTATTCCACTCTTGGGAACATATCCTAAGAATCCCAGAGCACCAATCAGAAAGAAATATACACCCCTATGCTCATAGCAGTACTAGTCACAATAGCTAAGATCTGTAAAACAGCTGAAGTGCCCATCAGTAGACGAGTGGTTAAAAAAACAGTGGTATATTTACACAATGGAATACTATGCAGCTGTAAAAAAGAAGGATCTATTAGCTTTTGAGATAGCATGGAGGGACCTGGAGAATATTATGTGAAGAGAGCCTGTATTTAGATGACAGTGTTTCCACACTAAGCATGGCCAGCATGCACTGAGATCGGTTTTCATGAAAGATGAAGAAGGAAACTCATTCTGCAGGAGGTTTTTCCACAGGTTTCTTTATAATTACATAAACAGCTCTTCTTTTGCATTTAAGAGATAGCAGGGTTTATAAATGTTTTACTCCCCACATTAGTCTCAGCCTGTTGTGTAAGATGAAGTACACCCACAGATTTCTCTGTACTATTTATGGAAGGGTGTTCACAGAGGTCTTGGGTGAGGGTGGTGAACACAAGAAGTCAATATCTACAAAACAAAAATGAATGGGTTTTTGTTTTCCTCCAATTTTTTTGTTCTCTCCAAACACAAAGTCTATTCTTATGGCACATGGATTATTACATTCAACAAATATGAATGAGCATCTTCTTTATTGTCAGGGACCTTATCAGGCCTTAGGAATGCAGAAATGATAAAGACAAGTTTCCTGTCATTAAGAAACTGTTTAATGGAGGAGATAGGACAAGTATTTAGGTTACCTTGACCCTGAGCAACTATAAAGTCTATAAGAAGTATCTGTGAAGTTCAAAGATTGGAGAACTCAGATGTGGCTGGGAGACCCAGCAAGTCTCTGTGCAGGAAATGATATTGAGCTGGGTGATAAAAGTCATGAATGATGAGTGGGGCATGGACAAGTAGGGTCTTCCTCAGACTTGGGTCATATTGAACTTCATCCTCCCCCTCCGATCCCAGAGAGGACTCAACAATAGTAGTTTCCCCATTCAGCCCCCCAGGAATGTAATTTAGACTTAATCATACCCACCTCCACTCAGGTCAAGCTGAAGGTCCCAGCCTTCTGGTCACTCATTAACATGTGACTCCCTTTGACCCAATCACAGTTGTGTGTAGCTGAGGAATCCAGCCTTGGGGATTGTGAAACATCTGGATGGGTGATCTGCTCCATGGCTGCCCTCTAATAACATGTAGCCTGGAGGTTTCAGCTGGAGGATGTATAAATGGGTTCTCCCTTCCTGCCCTCACAAGGCCTCTAGACTCCTGGGGTGACTTGGCCACACATCTTCCTCTAGGGTGAGGCTGCTTCTGGGTGGAGAGACACTGCTAAGGCAGTCCCGGTCTTTCCTCTTGTCTCTTTCCAGAGAATAGATAAGCCAGGTAGGAGAGGTTTGGGCAAAAAGAATAGAAGGGAATGGGTCCCTGCAAAAGACTTTATGACCTCACATTGGAGAAAGCCATCGAAGCTAGAGGGTCAGAGAAGGACAGAAGACACACGCAGGCTTAGGAAGCTCAGGACAAAAATAAGACTGAGTGAGGAGAGAGCAAAGACTCAGTTCTCCTTGACACTTGAGCATGGGGTACGTTGGCCTGGGAGAAGTGAACTGTCAGCTCAGCTAGGTTGCAGATTGTTTTTCTTATTTAAGAAGAAGAGTAAGATATTAGCCTGGTTATCAGTGAGTGGGTCCCCTGGGATTCCCACCATGATTTACTCCCCAAATATTAGCCCTTTCAAATCTTTTTTTTTTTAATCCTCCAGGGATGGATTTTAGCAAGCTGCACATCTAGGATCCATCTGACAGCTCCAGCTCCTGGAGAAGAGAAACAGGCACCCAAGGCCCTGATCCACTGAAGATTCTTTTTCTTTCCAGTTTCGCCCTGCTATTCCAGTGATGTCACAGCAGAAGCCAAAATCTTGCGAGCCTTCGCAAGCTCCCAAATGCTGCCCTCCTCAGGACCCACACTCCTCCCTGGCTCCCTGCTCTGACCCTGGCTGTGCTCCCTGGTCAGGAGGCTGTGGTTCTGCCTCCCAAAGCTCCCAGACTCAGAGCCCGGCCAGGGCTCATGCTCGGAAGGCTAGCCGGAAGCCCCGCTGCCTCAGTGGTGGCACAGTCTACCACATCAAAGAGGAGGAATGTTAAGGTGACTGACCCAGAGGAGAGGGGAACAGGGACAGTTGCTCTCTCCCCACCCAGGTCTTGTGTACTCATTCCATTGGGAAGCTCAGGACCTTCTATCTCTTTTGAGCCAGGAAACACCTTCAGGCCCCTGGCACATAAGAAGTGAGATCTCAGCCAAGCTGCGCTTCTGATTCTGTCTTGCACCCACCCTCTCCTCTCAGCAACGACACAGCTGTTTCATTTGGAGCCCTGGCTGCTGTGACCCTTGAGGTCCCAACTCAGATGTGCCAAGACCTCCGCAGGTGGATGCTGCCCTCCTTCTCTCCTCCTAAGACAGGTGACAATCTCCAAGGAGACAGATGGTTTGAGATTTTATGACTCAGTTCTCAGCATCCTCATAGCCATCAACCAATGTCACCACATAATCCTAGCACTGAAAGCTCAATGTAATAAGCTTATGTTGAGTACCTACTGTGTACTGGGCTCTGTGATCACAGATGCAAGTAGGAGATTTGTGTCTGCTCTAGAAAACCTTACAGTCTAGTTGGAGAGGTAATGTATACTCTAGATGGGAATATGTGTAATAAATATAATTTTAAGCTGATTGACATACTTATTTTTTTTTTCAGTTTGTATCCAAAAAATACTTAGAGAAGAGAAAAAAAGAAAAAGGTGAAGGACAGCAGGGAGAGGCTTATCTTAATATTGATCAAAGATGGGTCCCTGGGCCTGAGGAGAACCTGTATGTTGGGGGAGAGAACAGGCTCCCTGGAGTAGGTAGCATTTAACAAGGCCTTTAAAGTTAAGCCAACTTTGGTGCTGTGGGCGGAATGAGGAGGAAGAATCTTCCAGGTGCATATTCCAGGTGCATGTCGAGTGTGGTACTTGACGGCATGAATTTTAATTTGGCTGGAGTGTCAGGTCTGAGATGATGATGTGAGACTGTTCATAATGTCAACTCCTTATGATAACTCAGATCAGCTGAGTTACTGAATTTAAGGAATAAAATCCCAGCTACCAGAGTTTTGTCATCTGGGGAAAGTCTGGGCCAAGTTCAGGGTCTGTAAGCCTGAAGTTGGGGGAACCTGAGGTAAAGTATAGGGGTCTCAAGGCTCAATTATGTTGCATGTCAATCAAAGTTCCATGGAACAAAGTTTAACTGATTCTGGGGGAGGGGCGGGGGGCACAGAAATTATTGTTTTCCAAGTACTCAATCCAGTAGATTATATTGCATGGGATGCCTATTTTTAGGAGTTAGCCGTTTTTCTGATTGCTGGGACCTAATTTTGTGTCTGTTACTCTATATCTATATAGAGAACTATGGATATATCATAAATATATAGAATTATCATTTTCTCTATATAATTTTTCTTATTAAACAAATGATACTTTTTTTTCATTGTTATAAAAATTTATTAACGTAGATAAGCATAAGGAAGATGATTAAGACCAAATGCAAATCTTGTCACCTACAATAACCACTGCTAATAATTCCACAGATTTCCAAACTTCATGAAAATAACAAAATGGGGTCATTTCAGAATATTGTATAACCTGTTTTTTCAACCTAACAATATAATTGATGTCATACTCTTCTGGGTTAATAAGTAAATCACACTATTGTGTGGAGACACCATAAGTTGTGTAACGAGCTTCCTAATATTGGACATGTAGGTTGTTTCCAGTCTTTTGCTGTCTAAACAATAGTAAAATAAATACTCTCAGTGGTGATTATTCTTAGTAATTTTCCTAGGATAAATTTTTAGAATTGAAATTCTAGACTTGCCCAAGCTTATGAAGACTGTTTTCAGACTTTTCAAGAAGATTGCATCTTGGGAGCAGTTAAAATGCCTCCGTTTAAGTAAATCACTTTCAGGAAAGGGATTTTTCTTTCCCAGCTAAAGGAAGAATTCAGTTTATGAGAAAACAATTTCTGAGAAACTTGACAAGTATCTGCTTATTTTACTGTCGTGAAATCAGTACTTGTAAGGCAAGTGTGGATGCTTCTCCTTTTGAGAGGAAAAAGTTGCTCTATATTGTAAAAGCAGTGTCTTAAAGCTTTGATAGATGATTTCTTGAACTTCCATACTTAGCTCATAGGTATTTAAATATGATTTTAGAAGTTCTATTATGTTTGTGTGAGATTTCTGAGGGAAAAAAATCTAATTTTTCCCTAAGAAGAAAGCAAAATATTAATGTTTGGTTGATTGTGTAAAGCTAAACATCTCAGAATACCTATGTTTTGTTTTGTTTTTAATTTTTGCTTTTTATGAAAAACACATATTCACCAAACAACTGTTTGAAAAATGTTTGATGGAAGCAAATGTTCTTCGATGAGAGTACTACTTAATACTGTGGCCTATTTGACTTCCCTTGTCAGTACCTGGATTCCCTGTGTTAATCGTTCAACTCGCATATTATTCATGGGCTCACTGTTTAGTCTATGTCAGTGGATATTGAAATTATTGAATTGAAGATAAACTAGCGATTTGGTCATTAGGTTTCTTCATGAAGGTCTGCATTTGGGATCTCCACATTTCTAAAATACGTCTGTATATCAGAAATGTCAAAAAATATGATGTCTTTTAGGGGTGGCTTTTGTATGGCTTCATTTTAATGTGGTGCCTAGAGGGTACCTTTGTTTTATAGCAATAAATCATAAAAACTGCGAGCTTCCCATTGTACGGCCTACATACAACATCTCAGAAGTTTATAGGAGCAACCAAAATGGGTAATTGGCACAGGCATTTTTCTTTAGAATATATCTAATTTATGCTTCTAACATGTTAAATAGTTACACATTTTTAATGTGTTCTAATTAGAAACATTTAATTTTGACAGAGCATTTGATATTTAATATGATCTTTTATCTAATTTTTTAAAAACAATTAAATGCAGTATTGCATGGACTAAATGAAGAACATGTAAATTTAAAAGAAAATAAAAACAAAGTTGCTAGGTTTTTAAAAGAGCTTTCCAAGGGACTTTGAAAAACCTTCAGAGAAGGTTCAACAGTGCCCCGCCCCTTCTTAACAAGTCTGGATTCCAGCGTTCCAGCAAGCTAGCAAGTTCTCGCGGGAACCTCGGTGAGCCCCTGCCCCAGCATGCCCAGCTCCTCCTGAGTCTGCAGTAAGGACAGACTAGCCCCATGGTCCACCTGTCGTGAGGCTGGCCTAGCCCACTCCCTGGGTCTAGTGTGTTTTCAGCAGCTCTTAGTTGACAACATATGATAGACCATATTTTGTTACTGGATATTATACACTTCATGATATAACAGAAATAAAATAAAAAGTCTTGGCTTTTAGTTATTCCTGTACAGACGCTTCAAATATATTAAAATAACATCATCCTAAAATGAAAGAATCTGTGTGATGCTAATTTCTTCTCTTATTTAATGGGAAGTCAAGAAATACTGCTTACACTTGGCGAGTGAAGAAATGGAGCTTTAGTAATAGTATTTAAAGTCCACTCATTACTAGGGTCGCCGGGAGTTGGAGCGACTTAAGGCATATCACACGCACCCACTTAAAGATATAGGGGTAACCAACAGTAGTCTGAAAAATAAAACCATGTCTAAATAAGAAGGAAAGGAGAGAAAGGATGGTGAACATGAGCTTATCTGTTGTGTGTCACTGGGGAAGGAAATAGACATATCTGAGAGCAAGCAAAGAAATAATGTAGCCCAGCCGGTGTGGCTCAGTGGATTGAGCATTGTCCTATGCACCAAGAGGTCACCAGCTTGATTTCTGATTAGGGCACATGCCTGGGTTTCAGGCTCGATCCCCAGTGGTGTGTGTGCAGGAGGCAGCCAATCAGTGTTTCTCTCTCATCGATATTCCTATCTGTCCCTCTCCCTTCCTCTCTCTCTCTAAAAGATCAATAAAAACACATTTAAAAAATAAATGTATAAACAGATAATTTAGGGTGAGACAATTTTTTTCATATTAAAACTTATTGGATTGCCTTCTATTTTAATTTTTATGTAAATGTATTACTTTATTCTAAAAATAAATAAAATCACATCCTGTTTTTACACGCATTTGTAAGAAAGAGTTCCAGACCAAACCTTCCTTAACAGAGCAAATATAAGCTCAGACCCCTGTCAGATGAAATTTATTGCACATCTTTGATAAGTATGACTTTATGCAACTTTCTATGCTTTTCTATGCCTCAGTTTCCTCATGCAAAAAATTAGGTAAAATAATAGTTTCTGCCTCATGAAACTGGACAGTATTACATATGATATCATAGGTAACATGTTTTGACATATTTAACTCAATAAATGTTCATTGTAACTTACATCTGGAGTTTACCATATTTTTAATGGGCTTTTTGTTCAAGGTTTGGAATTACAGGAAAGAAAGTTGCAAAGGAAGCACAGAGAATTTCCCATATCCCTTGCACCCAGTCTCCCCTGTTGTTCAGATCTTAACATTAGTATGGCACAGTTGTTACAGTTAAAGAATCAATACTGACACATTATTATTAACCAAAGTCCATACCTATACTTTATTCAGATTTCCTTAATTTTTACCTAATGTCTGTTATGTGTTTCTGGATCCCATCCAGGACACATGACTTTTGGTTGTCTTATCTCCTTAGGCTCCTCTTGACTGTGACAGTTTCTTAGACTTTCCTATTTATTTATTTTTGTGAATGCTCACCAGAGGAGAGAGAAACATCAATGTGAGAGAGACACATTGATTAGCTGATTGGTTGCCTCCCATAGGACCCCAACTGAGACTGAGGATTGAACCTGCAACCCAGAATGTCTCTCAGTTGGGATTTGTCCAGTGTTTTTCTCACGATTAGAATGGGTTTATGGAATCTGGGGAGGAGGATCGCAGGAGTAAAGTGCCATTCTCATCCCATGATATCAAGGGCACGTGTTGTCAACATGACATCACTGTGGCACTGCCCTTGATCATCTGGTGGAGGACGTGTGTGTCAGGTGTTGTCTTCCCCCCTTTCCTCTTTGAAAGGGAGTCACTAAGTGCAGTCATTCAAGGGGGAGGGAGTCA